GTGTGTGTGTGTGTGTGTGTGTGTGTGTGTCTGTCTGTCTGTCTGTGCGTGTGTGTGTGTGTGTGTGTCTGTCTGTCTGTCTGTGTGTGTTTGTGTGTGTGTGTGTGTCTGTCTGTCTATTTGTCTGTCTGTCTATCTATATGTGTGTGTGTGTGTATGTCTGTGTGTGTCTGTGTCTGTATGTTTCTGTCTGTCTGTCTGTCTGTCTGTGTGTGCCTCTGTCTGGGTGTCCGTGTGTCTTTCTGTGTGTGTGTGTGTCTGTCTGTCTGTGTGTCGGTCTGTCAGTGTGTGTATGTTTCTGTCTGTATGTATGTGTCTGTCTGTCTTTCTCTGTGTCTGTGTGTGTGTGTGTGTATGATTCTGTGTGTGTGTCTGTCTGTGTGTGTGTGTCTCTGTACAGTTGACTGTTGACATGGCGCTTACGGATACTTTTGCTTTTGCTCTATAAATTCTTTACTTGGCTTTGCTGTTCAGTATCTCTGAAATGCAGCCAGATGCCGTACCCCATCCGTTTTTAGAGATGTGCATCTCTGATGTTGGTCCTGGGACAGCTTTTTCAGCTACTTCCCTCAGCCTTTGCTATTTCTCCTGCTGCATTTATTATTTCTTCTTGTTGCTGCCATTACCAGGAATTCCCACATCTATCAATCTAGCTTTCACCATAGCGACCTGCTTATCAGACTGGATCTGGAAGTTACTCAGTTTATTCATTTCGTCCACCTCTTTTGGAAGTATCTCTTACTTTGACTCTGACAGATTGTGGATCCGCGGACCTCTATGAAGTCTTTATTGAATTTAATATAATTACCCACTCATTATCAACAAACATGAGTTATCTTAAAAAGCTAGATGAGATCAAATCCACATTTCCTATTTCAGTTTGACACCGCTTTAATTTTAAGTTCTGATTCAGCCCGTTAGAGGGGGTTTCTTTGCTGATGAGAGGTGAGTTGTTTTTATAATGAAACAAGACTGGAAGCATCAGGTCAGAGCTGTCCCTTGAACAGCTGGGATGGGAACGTAGCGCCAAGGAACAGGAGGCGCGCTCACTCAGAGAGATCAATCCAGTTTTACTCTACTCACATAAAAGCGGCCGCAGATCAATGCGTGTCAGGTTGTGTGCGCCTCCACCCTTTGATCAAAGGCATCCCCCACTATCTCAGCATCCAGAGCTGAGGGAAACAGCGGAGGGAAGCAAGCTCACTTTTGTTGGACGACCCGTGGACGTTATGAGAATAACTTCACTAGCTGTGTGGGTCCGTGATGGATGGATAGAGTCTGAAAGTGACTGATGACACTTTCTCTTAGTTTCTGTGGGCCACAGAAACGGTTTTGTCTGGGTTAAGGACACATTATGGCTGTGTATTAGCTGGCCAAATGGAAGGACGGTGGCCTGGCTGGACCAAACGAGACAGAAAAACACACACAGTACCTCACTTCTGTAGGTAATTCACAGTTACCAGCTCATCTAATATGATGCTTTTGGACTGGGGGAGGATACAGAACACACACACACACACACATACACATCACTGTGACCAGGACAGCTAAGTTGCCTCTTCCAGTCTCCGTTTCCTTTTGTCCAGCATTCAACCGGTCAGATGAAAAGCTGTTTTATGTACATTTTTGTCTTAAGTTCCATTAAAACCCTCAAATACTGCTTTTTTCTGTGCTCCTAAATCCTCTGTTACAGGTCACAAATATAATTCTGTATATATGGAAGGGGATTTAAATGGTTACTATTCTTATTTCACCTGTGCCCCACCTTTTTTTTTTTTTTTAGATGGGAGAAGTTAGAAAAACTAAAGAAAAATAACATATGGATGAAGAGAGTTTTTATGTTTTCTTTATTTGGCACCTGTCACCTATTGTTAATTTTTTTTCTTATGTTCGATAATTCCTTTGAACACATTTTCCTGCAAAAATGACTGACTAGTACAGTTGTTGTCTGTCAGCTGGTGGGTTTTTATCGTCAGCGTACCTGTGTGCTCCCCAGATCTATCGGCGTTGCTGGCTGGTGTTTAAGAAGTCGTCCAGCAAAGGGCCCCGCCGACTGGAGAAGTACACCGATGAGAAAGCGGCTTACATACGAGCTTTTCCCAAAGTGAGTAGACTTAGACTTAGACTTGTACTTTATTGATCCCTTGGGAAGACTCCCTCAGGAAATTAAGGTTACCAGCAGCTTACAGGACAAAAAAGTGGCACACAGAGAGCAAAATGCAGAAAAATACCCCCCAAAAAATACAGATTAAGTACAGGATTTTTTGGTTACACACTAAATGTAAATAGCCCCAAAAAATGAATACAAATATGAATACAAAGTAAAAAGTAAAAACCCCTAAGTTAAGCAAAAATAAGCAAGAATAAGAATATAAATACAACGTGAAAATAAAGACCCATAAGAAAATATGGGAGTTTGGCGGATAGATTGACCAGTGATATGGTATTGCGCTATATGATTTGGCCTGATAAATATGGGGTTCACATTTTACAGAAAAACAGACGTGCTGGAGATAAAGACTCTCACAGATGACCGCAGCATCACTTCCATTCTGGTCTCCTTTCTTCCTAAAAACTGCCGTTTATCGTCTGCCTCACAGACAAAATTATTAAAAAAACACGCTACGTTGTGTTTAGCAAATGAGTTCAGGCTACTTCTACAAAAAATCTTCTATTGGGATGCATTTTATAATTAGTTTTGGGATATCATTTTGCTGTCTTGCATTTCAGCTCATAATAATACTGAAATATCCTCTTATTTGTCATCTAAACTGACACTGTTTACACATTGTTTATTATTTCTCCTTCAAATTGCTGCACAGGTGACAGAGATCAGCAACGTGAAGAACGTCACCCGGTTGCCGCGGGATTCCAAGCGCCAGGCGGTGGCCATTGTGTTCACGGACGACAGCTCGCGCACCTTTACCTGTGAATCAGGTGAGGTCTGGAGAGTCGCCCCGACTCTCTCGAACAAAAAAACGGAGAATGCCGTTCGATATAAATCTTTCTCTCTCTCTCTCAGAGCTGGAAGCCGACGACTGGTTCAAGATGCTGTCCATAGAGTGCCTGGGCATGCGACTCAACGACATCAGCATGGGAGAGCCCGACCTCCTGGCAGCCGGAGTTCAGTGCGAGCACACAGGTACTACTACACACACACACAAATACAGAAAAAACAATTCATCTCTCATTATAAAGGGTTGAATTTGTCTAAATATGTTCATTTCTGTGCAAAGAAAAGATGCCTAGGTCCTCTGGCTTTCTCCTACAGTCCGATTATTATCATCATTTTATTGCTGTTTATTTCTTTGCTTTGTTTAAAATCTAAATTCTTTTTCATGCCCCTCCGCTGTGCCGTTTAAAGTGGCCTTCAGGGACTAATAAAGCAGTTTGAACTGAAGCGCTACAAATGTTTGGTGCTTCCGTGTTGGCGATAAGTGAGAGCATACCCGTTTTTTCGTCTTTTCCCTGTGAACGAACATGCGTGTGTTGCTCAGTAGCAGCGAATAGGCCTGAATGGGACTCTGAACAGGAGGAAGAGGGTATGAAAGGAGCAATACACTGGACAGAGACGTCAAATATATGATTGATGATTATTTGAAAGTTTAAACGGAATCACTTAGCGAGCATTTAGTGCATATTTTCGAACTCCCTTTTGCTAAGTGCTCAGCCTCCCTGCCATTACAGGCCACTGCCTATCCTATATGGGCAGTTTGCTGCCTCTTAATGATCCACCACAGCTCTGTGATGGTAAAAAGCCGCTCAGAAATTAATCTGACTGTGGAAAATTGTCCAAAAGAACAAAGAAAAGTGCACCCTGTCTCATCACCTAATGCTGTGTTCAGACTGGGCTGTGTGGGGTCAGACCCAACAACTGGGAAGTTTTCCCAGTAGCTCGAAACTAGCGTCCGATCGTACTCACGCAGAGAGGCTTTTAATGTGTAGCCTTCCTCAGAAATTCATTCAGTTAAACCCTTTTTCAGTTTTTACTCTGAGAATACTTTGGACGTTTTCGTTTGCGAAAATTAATTCCTATATGCCTTCTTTCTTCTTGTAAGGGTGCGGGCTATCAAACGGTTTGACCTTTTCCTTGCCTAGCTGAAGTAGTTTGCCGGGTTAAGTTTCTGAGATCAAAAATGTGTTAAACAAATGGGAAAGACTTCCCTCTGAGCAGTGCGCTGGACTGATCATCTGCTCAAAAAGCGAGAGGTTTGAACATTGCAAATGGATCTTTGACTAATCTCCGGTCCTTTCCGTCTCCCCCAGAGCGCTTCAATGTGTTCCTCCTTCCGTGCCCCAACCTGGACATCTACGGGGAGTGCATGATGCAGATCACGCACGAGAACATCTACCTGTGGGACGTGCACAACCCCCGCACCAAGCTGGTCACCTGGCCGCTGTGCTCCCTGCGGCGCTACGGACGCGATGCAACCCGCTTCACCTTCGAGGCTGGGCGGTGAGTTGCTGTGCCATAAAAAGGGGACAGTTGTAAATGTATAAAGCTTTTCTAGTAGAGCTGACTACTCACAGCGCTTTACATTACGTGTAATTCACCATTCACACACACTGGTTGCACCAGTGGGCACACCAGATGCAACCAGTAGGCAACTTGCGGTTCAGAGCCTTGCCCAAGGACTTCCACATGTGGTCTGGAGGAACATGGAGTTGAACCACTGACCCTCCAATCAGTGGGCAACAGCTCTTTCCCCCTGAGCCACACCCGCCCCCACAGTTGCGAGCTGGTCCCAAAGAGACTCACATTCCTCTCACTGTGTGTGTGTGTGTGTGTGTGTGTGTGTGTGTCTGACTGGACTGGCGGTGTCTGTAGGTGTGAGTTTAGATAGTGTCATTTGTCACATTTAGCGAAAGTGAGAGTCAGCCGGCACCCCCAGCACCCACAGCCTCATGGCAGTATCACATGTCATGAGGTTTGTGGAGGATTGTTATCGATTCACCTAAAGAAGAAACTCTTTGACCACCCACCACAGCCTGCAGATGGATTATTGACAGATCACAGTTTGTGAGGGTGTGTGTGTGTGTGTGTGTGTGTGTGGAATGGTGCGGAACCACAGTGAACACAAACAAAAGCTAAACAGATTATTGTGTATTTCAGAAGGATAAAAAATAAACCAAACACTGTCCCCATCCAAGATCAAGATGTGATTTAATTAATAAAGATACCTGATAAAAAAAATAAGAGAAAATAAATATAATAATTTTCTTAAAATTCTATTTAAAATGGTGTCTTTAACTAAATACATATATATGTGTATATGTATATGATATTCTTATACAATTTTATTTTTTATAGAATATCTATACTATTTATTTTTCTGTTTTTACATGAACCGATTCAACATTCACTGCATTCAAGATCATGATTAAGGACTAAAATACCTCAGATTCATATACAATTTTCTTTTTCATTTGAAGTTTTGTGCGTTTTGAGTGAGTTTTATGTATTTTACATAAACTGAATCAACATTTGCTGCTATTTCTATACTATTAACTAAAATTAGAGAGATTCTCTACAGCAGGAACCATGTGATGATGCAATAGATCAGAAACCGAGGTATCAAATATGACATATAGGGCATTCGATATTTTAATTTTTTTTGTCTGTCTTTTCTTTTTGATGTCTGAGTATAAATTAAGTGTAAAAAGGGAAATCCTGGCATCCTCCTTTGGCCTTTGCTGTTTGCATCCTGGTCTCTGTTCTCATCCCGGGCTGCTGTGTGTGCAGGATGTGTGACAGTGGTGAAGGCCTGTACACCTTTCAGACCCGAGAGGGGGAACAGATCTACCAGAGGGTCCACTCCTCCACGCTGTCCATCGCTGAACAACACAAGAAGGTCCTGCTGGAGATGGAGAAGAACAGCAGAGTGAGCTGGAATAATACCGACCGACATGTTTGTTTCTGTAGATATGACGAGGACTCGAAGTAGCTTGGAAAAGATTAATTCCCTCCTTAGTGTTTGTCCCATTTTTAAAGGTTCCCTTTTGGTGTACAACCTGCACTTTACATGTGATTGTAGCATGCTTTCAAACTAATCCATGTCTTAAACAGCTGTTTGGCAGTTTGTACTGATAAAAAGATTTATTGCAACAAAGCAAAAGATTTAGCCAAAGGTTTGCGGCTCTTTCCTTTTTGCTTAGCGCTGTATATTTCTGATGCAGTTGGGGCTCACGCGACATTCTTGGAGTGATAATTGTGCGTGTGGCTGTCAGATCCAATCTGAAATACTCTGAAATAAGACTGAAGTTCTCCATTTCCAACTCGTCTGCGCCTTCTCCTCCCAGTTGCTGTCGAAGGGCTCAGAGGCTGGCTCCTATCCGTGCACCCCTACTGCCATCCTGCCCCGATCCGCCTACTGGCACCACATCACCGGGAACCAGAGCGGCCCGGACTGCAGCGGTGGTAAGCCACGTGTTCATTTTTACGGCCTTTAATCTTTTTATTTGACCACGCCTGGCTAATTCACTCAAAATAGGAACCTTTGACCTTTGAGACAATGGGGAAAATATTAATGGTTCTTCTATTTCTAACCAGTCCAAATGAACTATTAGTTTTGTTGAAAGTAATATTAATGATGAGTTTCTGTCATAAGGAACACGAATATCAATGAACTACATTTCCAAACCCATTTAAGTCATCTTACAAGTCTTCAGGTTTTGATAATGATTATGTTTTTAGGGCTGGTGGTCCTGGTCCGGTCCTGGTCCTGGTCCTGGTCCTGGTCCTGGTCCTGGTCCAGGACCATAAGATAGACTAGGTTAATCGAGGACACCCTCTGTGTGATTATTAGAATGTTGAAGCAACCAAATAAAATCTAAGCTTCGCTTTGTGTATATTTTGTTTGATAATGACTATGTTTTTAGGGCTGGTGGTCCTGGTCCTGGTCCTGGTCATGGACCATAAGATAGACCAGGTTAATCGAGGACACCCTCTGTGTTATTATTTGAATGTTGAAGCAACGAAATAAAATCTAAGCTTCACTTTCTGTATATATTGTTCGATAATGACTATGTTTTTAGGGATAGTGGTCTTGGTCCTGGTCCTGG